GTGGCTCCCGTTTTTCTTTTAGTGGTAATTATGAAGCTATAATACTGAATGCGTATCTGTAATTTACAGCAAACTATACAGAGAAAAATTGTGACAAGCAGCAACGGCTTTTCTGTTTTTCTTTTTTCCTCCTTTGGGATGATGCTGATGGTGAGCAGCTTCTTTTTTTTTCCTTATTTTTTTTTCCTTATCTCCCCCCCCGCCCCCCGCCCCTTTCTCTGATTCAGAGAACTGATTATAGAGTAGATCTGTGGTTTTGTCACAGTGGTCTCCAAACACCCACAAATTATCCTGCAGAGGTTTAGTATAGTGAAAACGGGCCACCTGGCTCATAGAAACTTAGAAATGGTGCCAAAACACAAGCATACCCTTGGTTTTCTCGTTCTTTGGACCGAAATTGGTGGTCGTGGCCCTTTTCTGAGAAAATAGACATTCATTGAAACAGGAGAGATTCTAACTTGATATAAGGCAAATTTTTTTCACCATTATGCACCTCAAATACCGTGTTCAGTTTTGGGCCCTTCACTACAAGAAAGACATTGAGGTGCTGAAGTGCATCCAAAGAAGGGCAACGAAGCTGGTGAAGGGCCTGGAGCACAAGTCTTATGAGAAGTGGCTGAGGGAACTGAGGTTGTTTAGCCTGGAGAAAAGAAGGCTGAGGGGAGACCTTATCACTCTCTACAACTACTTGAAAGGAGGAGGTTGTAGCGAGGTGGGTGTTGGTCTCTTCTGCCAAGTAACTAGCGATAGGACAAGAGGAAATGGCCTCAAGTTGCACCAGGGGAGGTTTAAATTAGATATTAGGAAACATTTCTTCACTGAAAGGGTTGTCAAGCCATGGAACAGGCTGCCCAGGGACATGGTTGAGTCACCATCCCTCGACGTAGTGACATAGTTTAGTGGTGGACTTGGCAGTGTTAGGTTTATGGTTGGACTTGATGTTCTTAAAGGTCTTTTCCAACCTAAACGATTCTATGATTATAACAGTCAAATGTAGAAGAGGCTTACATCTGTTGGAAGCACTTGGATTAACCAGTGAACACTGTACCAAGGCAAGTCATGAGTGGCTTATTGAAGTTCTGTGCAGCTTGGAAAATCTTCACTGATTGTGTCCCATGTAAAGTCATTCTGATAGTATTGACAATGTATCTTAGAAGCTTTAGAAGCTCTAGAAAATTAATGCTATTTTGAAAACATCATTCCCTCAGCTCCCCCTTTCCTCCCTGTCCAAATTCAGGACTTCTTCCTTCATTTTGGAACTTCTATCCACTAATAACTAACGTGAACATGAGCTAATCCAGTGAGGATAGTCATCTTTCATATAGGTATGTGATAGTACTAATGTAGCAGATTCAGATTGTTGACAGTCTGTTTGTAAATCTCTGTTAAAAGTATTCTTAAATAAAAACCATGATAAAATAACATCAGTGAGCAAAATTATAACTGAAAGCTTGATTGCAAAAATGTCTCCAAGGCCACGTAGAGATGATTTGGTGAAATGGTACTGTTTTACGAGTAGCACAAATATTGACAAGATTTGATTTTATCTTTTTTTTTTTTAATCCTAATTAAAAATGTGGGGTAGTATGGAAAGCTATCTTCTGTATTTTAAACAGCTGTTTAATTTTGCAAAAGGAAAAACAGATAACTCTTTGGATTAAACAATGTCGTAATCAAATTCAAGACTCATTTTAAGGCTGTTGGCATAGAAGACTTTGTTATTAAATATAAAAGCAATGCTGATATGTTGAGCAAGAGTGAACTTTCTGAGAAACAGTTATAAAACTGTCTTTTCAAGGATGCTGAGAATTTGAAGAATTATTCTGTGGATATATTTCTGTGTCTTTCATTTAGAAGAATTTAGTCTTGCATTTGTTATGGACATTTGTTCAGTGAAGGACTCTCCTATAGTAAACATAATGCTGCTGAAGTAAGCTTTTTCAGCTTGAATACGTAATTTGGAAATGAGCAGTGATTTGTAAACCTAGAGGAAAACTGTAGTGATTATATTGAATATGTTAGCTGCAAGAACTAAATGACTATAAGTATCTTCTGCCTCTTTTAATATCCAAGACTGTGGATATCATAGAGTATAACATCAGTACTGGCTGCTTTGCGGCAGTACGATCAGCCCTTGGAGCAATGGAAATGAAATTCTTTATCAGCTCTTAGAGTTTCTCCCTTAATGTATTTTATTTTGACACTGAATGCATTTTAGAATGGGGACATCTGTTTGCTAAAAATTTAATTGGTGCCACTGTCCTATTTCAGCCAATCGAGATCTCTTAATCTAAGAATTAAAGCAAGAATCACACCTTTACAAATAAACGCAAAAACGGTCATACCAATACTACACCCTTAAATTAATTTTCAGTGTTTGTGGCTAAGACTGATTTTGTATGGTTTTTATGGAATAAAATTCAGAGTCTGGTTCTACTCATTATTTCTGGTCTTGACCAGACAGTGACAGTTTATACACAGTTGTCAACTGAATTAGACAAACCATATGTACTCCCACCACCTTCCTGTTTGTGGGTGGCTGTGTACAGGGTACTTTCTCTGCTTGGCATCCTCAACAGTGCGGATCCAAAAGATGCAACTCGACTGCAGAACTGTTTTGCTAGTCAACAAGTACTGTACCCCACCCACATTTCTAACTAGCAGATGGTGGGGCAAGCCTGTAGAACATGGTAAGGGATTTCACTACATCTCTTAAAAGTAAATAAATAATATTTGAAAATTCTATTTAAAAATCTAAATTACAGAATTAATTAGCCATGAAAGCATAACATCATGTAAGTATAGGATTTTGTATTCTCTGTAAAACTTTCATGGTCACCTTAGATAAATATTACTTCAGTAATTTAAAGTACTTCTTAAGCATAAGACAGTATTTATTGGTCATCCTAATCCTCTAAATATCAGAGACTTCTGACTAAAGACAGTTGTTCTGGAAGAAAAGATTTAGTAGTACTCTGCTGCAAGTCCTCCTTTTGTTTTAAAAAGACAAAAAGGGGATTAGATATGCATTTAGAACAAGAAGACTTTTGGCATGAATAAGCAGACTAAATGACTTCATTAACTTCAAGCTATTATGCATTTGTGTGAAACCATGCTAAAACTACAACCCTGTCAGCACTGTATTCTTTCTGCAATTTCCAAATCATAGTAGTAACAAATTTCCTAGTCACCAGCCCAAGGGACTGCTTTTTGCTCTGGACATCAAGCTAGGTTCTTCCCTGCTGTTCAGATTCTGCAGGCCAGGTCATGGTGGCTTCTGTTTTGCTCTCGACTGTATTCAGCTTATTCCTTCTGTGACTGCTATGCAATTTTTTGCATAGGTACATAGATTTGGCTTGACTAATCTCACTTTGGGATTTTAATATTATTTAGTAGTTTAAAAATAATAATTTATAACTTTATGTCTCTATGCATGAAAATTATCACTAGAATGAAAGATTGTAAAATTCAAGTCAGATTCATTTTTCTGAATAGGAGCATGCTTAGAACTTTACTAAGACAGAGGCTTTGCCTTACTGAGCTCACCATCTACATGATAAGTTGCAATACTGATGTTTGCTCTAATAGACACATTTAATACATAAAAATGAAATTTCCACAAAGTCCTCTAATGAATTAGTTCACAGTGAGGAATAAAGACAGTCTGATTATAGAAATGGTATTATGTTCTAACACCACGTTCAACATCCTGTATTCCCCTCTATGGTTATGAAATAGCAGCAGCAAAATTCAAGGAAAATTGCTAATTAGGTTTCACCAAGGAATCTGTATCTTGCTTGATCAATTTTATCAGAAATGTCTGACCTGTCAGTCTACTATGACCTCTGTTCTGACTTTCTGCTCTGTTAAGATCACTTAATTTCTCTGCAGCATAATAGTTTATCTAAGGGACCTCATCCGATTTATTTTAAAAATCTGTTTTCTGCACTTCGTACATATAAGCAGCACACCTTCTAGCAATATACTTTATCCAGACTGCATTATTAATTGAATTTACACAGTACCTCTCAGCTCCAAAATAAGGCATTTTACCAAAGATGTCAGCAGTATAATAATGAAATTGATATAGTGGTTCCAAATTCTAAGCTGAAAGAAAAAGGAGAACAACTTGGTTTTCAAGTTGATTTTATAGATGAAAGAAGTCAAGTATTTTTTATATCTCTGAATAATTACAGAGAGAAGATGCTAAGTGAAAAAAAAACCACATTATGTGATATTACCTTTACTTACTGCTAAGACTTGAACTCCAACATCAGAATTTCCTACTATTGTAAATTATTATCATCCAGGTTTATGAAAAGTGCTGAGGAAATTAAGAGATGGAAGGGGAGTCTGCTTTGTACTGAGTGAAAACTGAAATTACTGCCTTCTTCCACTTGCTTCAAATGGATCTTTACAATGGATTTTTTAATTGTCATTCAGCTGGCTCTTGAGTGTCCATGTTGCATCCTCACAGGGAATGCATTACAGCAGTTTTAAGAGGATGAAAATGATATAATGAGAAAAATTTGTTTACTCACATTAATAGCAAAATCATATCCATTAGCATTCTAAATATAGGAATCTTATTCAAATCTTTCTGATATCTGAATTACAAAAGGTTGTGATATATTTATCTGTTCTCTAGTCCATTTTATTGAAATGCCATCATTGTAAACAAGTTCTGAATGCTGTAGTTCATTTGTATTCATTAAGTCCAGAGACATTATAACATGAAATGAGTTGCAAGGACAAGTGAACAAAATTTAAACCACTGGTGTTGTGAGAAGAACTGCGTAGAAGTGGAAAAGCTATTAATTGTACTTCCACTTAAAGAATTTGTCTGGTAAAGGAAATAAATGCAACCTTTTGAACGTCATTGTATGTGCTCTGAAAATATGTTGTAGTGACTAACTAAATATTGGGTGTTTTTTAAAAAAATAAGCCTACTTCTAGGTGAATTAATTAAACACTTGTGGGTTGCATTGCTTTTTACTTAGCCCTGAAGTTGTAAAGAGTGAGCCGTATGGAGAGAAGGCTGATGTCTGGGCTGCAGGATGCATCCTTTATCAGATGGCAACTCTGAACCCACCGTTTTACAGCACCAATATGCTCTCCTTGGCAACTAAGGTATTCAGATTTGCCAGATCAACCTACCAATTATTTCTGCATGTGTTCACTAGATCCATGAGAATTTATGTTTAAGGTTATAGAAGCATAAACCTCTCTGGTCTGATGTGTGAATGAGCACAAGTGTTTATCATTGTATGAATTGCTATCTTGCCATTCTAAATGCAAAAATTGCTTGTAAATGTTAGTATATTATTACCTCTCAGACTAGCATATTTTTATCTTTGCATTTGGTGATAGATCTGTAAAATTTCTTGAGGTACTATAATACTGGATTTCCTATAGCATTGTGTGTTACTCCTTAGGATGTGATCACAAATAAAAATAAATCATTGTTTGTTTGGGTTTCTTAATGTTTCCCTTATTCAGATATTGTAGCCCTTTGATCTACAGTGATTATGTATATTAATGTGGATACCTGATTAGAAGTGCATTAGACATTTTGCATTAGAAGATATGTTCTAAATTGTTTTGCAAGTTAAAGCTGATGATGTAATGCCCATCAGGTTGTTTCAAGGAGCAATACTTATCATATAAGATCTTCAAATAAATAATGGAATATTTTTCTTCAATTAACTGTAGATTATTTATTTTGCAGATAGTAGGGGCTGTGTATGAACCTGTGCCGGAAGGACTGTACTCTGAAAAAGTGTCATTTACCATTAAGAGGTAATTACTTATCTAGTTTTATTTCGACATCCTGCTTAAAAGATGTTTTGTTTTGTATGTTTCCATGTGACAGTTTACTGACTTTAGCAACTGCCAATATTTGTCTCTGAATATGAAATATCTTCTGATTTAAAGAAAAACAGAGGTGTCTCCTTACCCTGCTAATAACATATTAGCAACATGAACCAGCAGTGTGCCCAGGTGGCCAAGAAGGCCAATGGCATCCTGGCCTGTATCAGAAATAGTGTGGCCAGTAGGAGGAGGGAGGTGATCGTGCCCCTGTACTCGGCCCTGGTGAGGCCGCACCTTGAATACTGTGGTCAGTTTTGGGCCCCTCGCTACAAGAAGGACATTGAGGTGCTGGAGCGTGTCCAGAGAAAGGCAACGAAGCTGGTGAAGGGTCTAGAGAAGAAGTGTT